AAATTCTAGCTTCTTTGGATTTTATTGTATTATCTTCTACTCTAGGATATGACACTTTTTAAATATTTCCGAATTTCAATTTTAATTTAATCAAAATCGGACGACTATATCATATAGCTGCCATAGGAACGATCGGAAAATTAATGGAAAAGTAATAGGAAATAAATTCTAGCTTCTTTGGTTTTTATTGTATTATCTTCTACTCTAGGATATGACTCTTTTTAAATATTTTCGAATTTCAATTTTAATTTGATCAAAATCGGACGACTATATCATATAGCTGCCATAGGAACGATCGGAAAATTAATGAGAAATATTGGAAAATTGAACATTTTTGCGATTTGTTAATTAATAGGAATGATCTGCAAGGGTATATAAGCTTCGGCTGGCCGAAGCTAGCTTCCTTTCTTGTTTTAAATGCTATAAACGCCTTCTATATGCAATTTGTGTAAATGTAATAATTAAAAAGATATGAGCAAAAGACAATTTTTTAAAACTTTTTTTTTAGCTTTTTTTTATTTTTCTCAAAAACGGCTCTAACGATTTTCTTGAAAACTTTAAACTGTATAGCCCTTGAGATTCCTTAAATTTTGGTATATAACACATTACTGTAAAAAGTCACGTTTAAAAGTTATTTTTATACGAAAATAGCCACTTTTGCCAGCTCGAACAATTAACGCTCCCTGAGTATTGAATTTTGTGGGAGGGTATCCGAACTGTATTTTAGGGTCATGGAATCAGTAAATTTGCACTTAAGAGTTCCATATAGGAATCTTTTGTTCTACGACTTTTGGAAAAAGCCGCTACTTTAGCGGGAAAAAGCTAAAAATAGCTAAATTTCGTTAGTTCGTAAGTTCTACACTACTAAAGGTACAGACATGTGCTATACCTTGTTTAAAAGGTATTTTGAAATACTTCAACGCCTTTTTAACTTAATTTGTTAAAATACAATAGTTTAAAAATTATGATTGACCAATTTAAATTTAAATGTATATATTAGCTCCTATGAGAGCAAATGTAAACAAACAAAAACTTCTGATATCAAATAAAAACACCTCTTAACGAGGTAAAAAACTAGTGACGACCGCACCTTCAACATACAAAAGTTCTGATATCAACATTTGTGACAAAAAATTATTACACTCGTCATTAAATTGACTTTCTAATCTTTTCTCATTCGTCACGCTGCGATAGAAAATGCCTGTAAAGGGAAAAAGGCTGGAATAGTTTGCTAGGGCGGGCCGAATGAGAAAATATTAGAAAGTCTATTTAATGACGAGTGTAATAATTTTTCGTCACAAATGTTGATATCAGAACTTTTGTATGTTGAAGGTGCGGTCGTCACTAGTTTTTTACCTCGTTAAGAGGTGTTTTTATTTGATAATGTATTAAACGCAGTTTTTGATACATGCGTACCTACGTATTATCATAAAATTTCTAGCCAACCTCCGTGGTTTAGTAAAGAGTTGTCACGACTAAAAAATGTGAAGTCTAGACTCTACAAAAAGTTTAGAGCTTCCGGATCACAAGCTGCCTTTTCCCGATACTTAAGTGCTCGGTCGAATTTTACCGTGCTTAACGCTCAGTGTTACAAAAACTATTTAGCTCGTTGTAAGACGCAGTTTACACTGGATCCAAAACAGTTTTATAATTTTGTTAACACAAAGCGTAAATCTTCAAGTTACCCATCAACCCTTAAATTTGAAAATTCCCCCGCAAAAACTGATCAGGCCATAGCCGATCTTTTTACACAGTTTTTCCAAACCACCTATTCAACAACAAGTCCGTCAGATCAGTCTTACCCATATGACATTCCTAAATCAAACCTTAATTTTTTATATTTCTTATAAGTGAAAGCTCACTTCTGTTAGATTTGCAAAGGGTCAAACCAGTCTACTCTCCGGGTCCTGACGGAGTCCCTGGATGTGTGCTCAAGTATTGCGCTGAGACTTTGTGTAGACCATTGCATAAACTTTTTACTTTGTCTTTAGAAACGACAGATTTCCCGCATAGATGGAAGAAATCGTTTGTTATCCCGCTTCATAAAAAGGGGGCAAATTGAACGCATGTAATTACAGAGGTATTTCAAAGCTATCAGCTATTCCGAAGCTCTTCGAGAACATTATTACTCCCCATTTGCAACACAGTTGTAGGTCTCTTATTTCCTCTTGTCAGCACGGATTTATAAAACGTCGGTCAACGACAACCAACCTTTTGGAGTTTACTTCATTTGTGTTAAATGGTTTTAGAACAAATTGTCAGACTGATGTGGTTTACACTGATTTCAGTAAGGCGTTTGACTCTGTAAACCATCCGATTTTAGTTCGGAAATTGGACCTTTTGGGGTTTCCTGATGATCTTCTTAGGTGGATCTTAAGTTATTTGAATGGCAGGACTCAAAGGGTCATTTTTAAAAACTCTTTATCATCCCTAATCCGAGTTACGTCCGGTGTACCACAAGGAAGTCATCTTGGTCCGCTCCTGTTTACAATATTTATAAATGACCTTCCTCTAATCCTAACGAACTCACGTGTACTTATGTACGCAGATGACGTTAAGTTGTGCCTGCAATTTAATGATCCCGCACAAAGTTTAGCTTTACAATCTGATCTCAATGCATTTCAAACATGGTGCTTGAATAATGATTTAAATTTAAATGGTTCTAAGTGTACACTAATGACCTTTTTTCGTGTCAGCCCTCACTATTCAACTTATACTTTGAGCGGTTGTGTGTTAGATAGAATAAACTTAAATTTTCTGATCACATTACTACCATGGTAAATAAAGCCAGGGGCGTGCTTGCATTTATCAAAAGGTGGTCGAAGGAATTCGATGATCCTTATGTCACAAAGACCGTGTTTATTTCATTAGTCCGACCAATTCTTGAGTACTGCGCTCCAGTTTGGAGTCCCCAATATGGGGTGCATATAGACCGGATTGAGTCTGTGCAAAAAAACTTTTTAATATTTGCCTTACGGGGACTTAACTGGGATACAAGCCTAATACTGCCATTCTATTCTAGTAGACTACTTCTAATTAACTTGCCATCATTAGTTAATCGAAGAACTATGCTTGGTACTACGTTTATTAGGAATCTTATTCAAGGGGATGTGGAGAGTCCCGAGTTACTGGGTCGCCTGTATTTTAATGTGTGTAATGGGTAACCTTTAAAAAATATAGGCAAGATGGAATTCTCGGGTATAGCCGGCACGTATGATATTTCTCCTGCTTCGCTGGCTCGTCGGCAAATGGGGGGGATGTTATAATTGCTATACCACGAGGCCTACTACCTTATTATTAAATTAAAACGTGCAAAAACGAACCAAAAGAAATGCTAAACCGGACGGAGAGAACAAGTTACACGTATGACAGCTAGAAGGACATGCAAAGAAAATATGGATATGGGAGAGGGTCCGCTGATCTTGTTGCGGCCCAATATGCCCACCCAACCTTGGCCACGAAGTTCCACTTTAAACTTATTCATGGCCCCTTTTGTTTTAAGGGGTCAGGGGTTATTTAGCGGGGATCAAAAAATAGTTATCTACGCAAACATTATAATAATTTATTATAGACTAAAAATTACAATATAAAATCTCATATCTTCCTCCGGGTTTTTTTTCAATATTGATAATTCATAAATTTAAATATAATTCTTTAAATTATTACGTTTTAAAATGTACTTTTACGATTAAGTTCTTCCAGAAATTCAAAACAACAAAACCACTTTGTTTACCATCTGATTTAATTTCGCTTTTATATATCGCTGTTAATTAGCAGTTTTAGTTATGTTAGCTAAGGTAAACAAAGGGCTTTCTGTTCCCATGTTATCGTTGGCAAACAGTGGCTTTACATAAACGCGAATGGAAAAAAACACCCAAGCGAAAATTCAACTTCTCAAAAATGGTTTCAAAATATAAAAATTTAACAAGTTCACTCACATTTCAATCGGTTACAACGTAGAATGCGCTTTCCAGAGGTCGTTCCTGTATGTCTTGTTGGGAGGGTTAAAATTTAATTAATTCGAAAATTGTATGTATTTTTTTCCAGTTTTTTCACACTCGCACTGTGTTACGCTCACCGAGGCCATTGGGACATTTTTATACCCTTGTAGAGGGTATTATAATTTCAGTCAGATGTTTGCAACGCAGTGAAGGAGACGTTTCCGACCACATAAAGTATATATATTCTTGATCAGCACCAATAGCCGAGTCTATCTAGCCATGTCCGTCTGTCCGTCTGTCCGTCTGTCCGTTTCTATGCGAACTAGTCTCTCAGTTTTAAAGCTATCGCGATGAAACTTCCCGAAGGTCTTCTTCTATTGCAGGTAGTACATATGTCGGAGCTAGCCGGATCGGACCACTATATCTTAAGGCTCCCAAACAAATATAAGAAAATTCATTGTAACTTTGTAGGAAGTAGGCGTTTTGATTCTTGACTACTTAAAAACAAAGTTGAAATAAATCGAAACGCTGAATCTGGAATCCCTGGAACTGCACCGAGTGAGTATTCTTTTATCTACAAGGGTATATAAGCTTCGGCTGGCCGAAGGTAGCTTCCTTTCTTGTTTTTAAACTAACAAAACTTAAAATTTAAACAGACACTTTCTTACATAACTACCCACTAATCTAATTTCCCATCCCCACTCTCCGCTGTTCGGTCATTGCTCTTTTTCTGCGTTTAAGCTATGCTTTTTCTCTCTCTAACACAATACCGCATACGGAGCCTCTCTCTCGGGTTTGTGTCTGCGCTACGCTCTCTCACTGTTCTCGGCTTCTGTTATAGGCATGCGATGGAATATTTTCCAACGGGAAGAAAATTACCGGCTATTTAAATCGTACCGGAAATGGACACCTGTCGGAAACTTAGTGCATTTTCCGTGGCCTTTTTTGGCTTTTTCCGGATCCAGAACACCATAGAATTACGTAACTGAGGTAGGGCTCGGGAAACAGGGTTAGGGACGATCACTGGCACTGCATTAGTTTTCACAGGTTTTTTTACTCTTCTGCTCCGCCACAAATCTGCCTCACTGCATCCTCATAGGCCCTTAGGCTCCCCCAAACATCCCAACGGCCTTTAGCGCACTCGCGGACCGAAAAAACCGGGCTTAAAGTAGCAGCGCTCTAACGCCGTCGTCTCAGCTGCTCGCGATGTCGAAAACTGGTTCTTCCTCTTCTCTCTTGGAGCACCGCTGCTCTCTCGCCGTAACTTCTGGCTTTTTCTCGCTTGGTTTTGGATAGCTTCTTGCCGTAGATTTCCCGTACTTTCGTCTCCAGGTATCTGGACGCCGAAACCTAATCCAAAATTATCTTTCAGACACCTGTGGAATACCTAGCTTTTTGCGTAAACTTACCCAGTGGATTTGGCACAACAAATTTAATTAATTTAGCTTGTAACTTTATTTGGTTTTGGTTTAGACTATGGCCGTAGGTTTTTATGGTTATTTCGGATTTTTCCCTTTTTGGGAACACACGCGCAAACTTATGTGATGCTCCTGACCTTACTTTTAGGTTGGAGTTCACTGCAAAAGCGAGTTGGAATAAGTACTCCGAACCTACGACCTTCTCTGCTTGAGAATCAAAACCCAAAAGAAGGTAACTTCGCCCTTCAGCTAGCACGAAACCCGACTTTCCCTTTTCCTTTTCCCAGCTACTTGACACTATTCCATGTTAATCTTTGTTTTCTTTGACCTTATCCATATTCTGTAAGGGTCTAACAGAGCTGTTAAATAGATGCTCACTGACACCGTCTCGACTGCAAAGCACTGTATCTTACAGATAAGGTCTAACGGACTTTAGGTCTTAGCTTAGTTCTAAGGGTATTTTAGGGGCAGCTACAAGATTCATTACAAAATCCCCCCTACCAAAATCAGACTTGGGGTTGGGTAACAAAACATCCGCAAGACCCACAAGACTGATAAAACGGAGCTGCTATTGACGCAAGTCCTTGGCGTGATAGGTTCCAATGCTTTTCCCCTGCATATCTTCCAGCTCGTAAATAGAGTTTCCTTTCCTTTGTTTGATCCTTGCTTTTACAAACATCGGTCCTAATTTTGCGTTATAACCAGCCTGAAAATTGCTTTGCTTATAGTTTCGCCTATATACTTCCTGGCCAACTTTGTACTGCACCTCTCTGGCTCGCAAGTTATAATGCCGTTCGTTGCGTTCGTTCTGCTTGTTCATCATATCGCATGCTTTCTTTCGTACCAACTCTAAGGAATCTTCCCGATTGAATATGAATGCCCTATCCTCTAATAACCCTAACGATCGTAATAATGGGTAAGTACCACCAGACGTCACCATCTGCTGACCAAATACCATGTAGTAGGGTGTTGTGCCAAGACCAGAATGTACAGAGGAACAAAGCGCACAACATATTTGACTTAGGGTCTCATCCCAATCCTTTTGATCAGGCCGGATATACGAGCGAATGGCCGCTATTACTGATCGATTAACCCGCTCTGACGCGTTAGCCTGCGGAGCATGCACTGCCGTAAAGGTATGTTTGATTTTATTGTTCCGCAAAAGATTCTGAAAACTGTCAGCTCTGAACTGCGATCCGTTATCGGAGACAATTATTTCCGGCATTCCAAAAGTGAAAAACAAATCATCCCGCAAATATTTAATAACGACGTCAGCAGTCAATTTTTTAACTGCTTTGAGAAAGACAAATTTAGAGTAATGATCTAGAACAATAAAAATAGCGACATTTCCACTTCTTGATCTAGGATACGGACCCAAAAAATCCACATAAAGACGTTTTCCTATTGGTGGCCTCAAAGTAATATTCGGAGCCTTGGTCATTTTACATTGACTGCAAGCTGCAATGTAATCTTTTACATGCGCAACTAATCCTGGCCAGTAGAAATATCTCCTAATCCTCTCTAATGTTTTATGTACTCCCCCGTGAGATGCTAATGGGTCATCATGTCCCTTGCGCACGACCTCGGATATCAATTCCTTTGGGAGCCATAACTCCCACGCATGCGAGTCATGCAAGAGTTCTCCTTTAGTATGTTCTGAACGTCGATAAAGGAATTTATCCACTATTTTTAGATCCGGAAGTTGATCGATGTTGGCTGCCACGCGGTCCTTTAAGTCCTGGTATTCCGGCGAATCAAAATAAGGGGATTCCAAATCGACTAATAACCCGTTCTGCATATCCACGGCGGCTATATAATCTTCCTGGACGCGTGAAAGCGCATCAGGTACTACGTTTAACTTCCCTTTCCGATGTTCAATATGGAACCTAAAACCCTGCAGTTTTAACGCCCACCTGGCTAATCTAGAATTTAAATCGCCCTGCGTCATTAGCCATTTGAGAGACGCATGATCTGTAATCACAGTGAAATCAAGTCCCTCAACATAAGCTCGAAATTTCTTTATGCTAATGAGTGCGGCTAAGCATTCCTGTTCCGTAACAGTGTAGTTACGCTGGGCCCTGTTCAACTTTTTAGACACAAACGCAATCGGCATCTCTTCTCCTTGCTCGGTTTTTTGGACCAACACACCTCCTACTCCAGTTTTACTCGCATCGCAATGAATATAAAATGGGCGAGTAAAGTCAGGACTACGCAAAACTGGAGCGGTAGAAAGCATCGTTTTCAGGACTCCGAATGCCTCTTTTCCCTCAGCTGACATTACAAATTTTTGTTTTGGTTTTAACAGGTCGGTCAACGGGGCTGCTACTGCTGCGAAATTATTTATAAACTTCCTGTACCATCCTGCTAAACCCAAGAAACTTCTTAGAGATTTTAATGTTGTTGGCAAGGGAAAATTGGAGATAGCTGAGATTTTTTCGGGATCTGTGCGGATTCCACCTTCTCCGATGATGTGACCCAAATACTTCACAGAACGCTTGCAAAAATGACTTTTCCCAATATTTATTGTCAATCCAGCTTTTTCGATGTGTCCTGCCACCGTGTGCAAAACCTTTAAATGGTTTTCAAAATTGTCGGAAATCACAAGCAAGTCATCGAGATAAACAAAAACTTCATTTCTGAGAGAAGCTGGGATAACCCTATCCATAAGTCTGGACATTGTCTGCGGCGCATTACAAAGGCCAAAGGGCATGACCTTGTAATGATAAAGAGGCCTCCCTGGGACTGTAAAAGCAGTCTTTCCTCTCGAAGCGGGATCAAGTGGAATCTGCCAGAAGGCATCTTCTAAGTCCAAACTACTTATAAAAACGGCTTTGGGCAATCGGCTGAGAATACCATCAATCTGAGGCAGTGGATAAGCATCCTTCTCAGTTACCGAGTTTACTTTTCGACTATCTAAACAAAGTCTAACTTTCCCTGGCTTCTGGACTAGAACGACTGGCGACGAAAATGCACTTTCCGACTCCTCTATTACCCCTAGCTGAAGCATTCTATCGATCTTTGCATAAAGCAGCTTCTCTATGGCCGGGGAAACTGGAAAATGCCTCTGTTTGATCGGCTTTGCAGTACCTGTATCTATGTTGTGAGATAACAAAGTTGTTTTGCCCAATCCCTTGGCAGCGAAAGACGGAAATTTTTGGATGGTCTTATCTAATTCGGCACTTTGTACTGGAGCAAGGATATGATGTTCGGATTCAGTTTCCACTTCTTCGATCGCCAGTGGACTTGGCAAAAGATTAAAATTCTCCCAAAAGTCTATGCCAAGATATAGGTCTTGCTTCAGTGACGGTATTATAAATAATTCAATTTCATGTTCAACTCCTTTATATTCTATCTTAGTTCTAAATTTACCAACTATCTTTTGGTTGCTTCCATCCGCCGTACAGGCGCTAGATAGCACTCTTTTAAATGGCTTATTGCTACAAATAAATTCATTAGCTAAATCTCCGCCTATGCAACTCATTGCAGCACCAGTCCCTTAATTTTCCCAGAAGATTTACTTCCGCATAAGGCCGCTTATCATTTTTGCTTCGACGAATCTCTCCAATAATCTTGGTGGTTTTCCAAAACTATTTTAACCGTCGACTGCTACGGGACCCCATACGAGGAATTTCTTCCTGGCTGGTAGCGGGATATTTAATGAAGGTTCTTGAATGACTGTCTGCTGTATTTGCTTGCTTAATCCCTCTGAACTGTTGGATTCGGTGGAACACTGATCGGCTGGCGTGTGGCTGGGGTGTTCTTTGGTGGGTTTTTTGAACACTTAGGACAATGATTTCTGTAGGTGTTTGGCCTACCACAAGTGTAACAAAGACCTTCATTTTCGAATTACAGTCCTGGTACCTATGACAGTTCCAGCATATAAGGGACAGAGCTCCAATTTCTCTCAACTCCTCCTCTTCAAACTCAGATTTGTCTTCCATCGCGTCAGCTGTTAAGAGCTCTGCTACCTGTCTTTTTGATAGCCATGAGTCTTACGAACCTCATCCAGAAAACATTCCCGTTTTCTACAGATTCCTCGAAGAGTTTCCATTGAATCCAACGAAATATTTAATATTTCGTGCTGGATCTCAGGACGTAAGTTTCTACGTACTATTTCAATCAACGTTTTATCCGATATAGGCTGATTTAGGCGGTCCACAAGCTTTAGTATCGCATCGTAAAATGCCTCAAAAGTTTCCTTGTCTCTTTGCTTGCGGTCCCTAATCATTTCGCGGATGTCTACATCGGTCCTGGAGTCCCTGAATTGCTTTTTCAGTGCTACACACAGTTCTTGCCAGCGCACTACCCCCACAGCTTTATGATGCCGCCAAAAGAAATCGGCAGCTTTACCCTCGAACAACGTATTAGCATTGCTGCAAAGAAGTGTAAAGTTTCCTTCTAGGGTCTGATAAGTTAACGCCTCAACCCTATAAATAAAACTGTCTACACCCAAAGTATCGCCAGCTCCGGAAAACCGAAGTTTCCAGTTATTCATTATGTGGCCTACTTTGTCGGGCTTTTGAGACAGATCGGACAAATTGCTTCTAGGGGGCGTTGTTCGTGATCCTGATTGGCCAGTATTATCTTGAGGAATAGCTAGCCCTAACAGTTGCTCTAGTGGAACATTGCGGCTAGTATTAGCCGATTGCTGCTGAACCTCTTGTTCTTGCTCTTGCCTGCTACCTAACCGAGCTTCCATATTTGTTTGAATAAGCGTAGCCATTTTCTCTGTCAGCTGCGTTAGTAAATTGTTTTGCATCGCTTCTACCGCAGCTGCAATTATCTCGCTTACGCTACTCATATTGGCATTTTGCTTTGAGCTTGTCCCTGGACAATCTTCCAATGATTCGGCTAAATTTACTTCGCTTGAAGTACGCGAGAGCGATACGAACAACGATTGCTGACGCGTTTGGAGTGAAAGATTTGTCGGTTGGGATAGCTTCTGAGAAACAAATTTTTTTTGGCAATTGGGTTTTAATGCAGGCTTTGTGAAAATCGTGCCCACACTTTGTTGTGTATTTTTCCTGTGTTTCTATCAGAGCTTGCAAGGTTCGGTCAACCTTTTCAAAGTGTTAGGAA